ACGGCGGTGATGGCCGGGAGGTGCCGCGAGTGGCGGTGGCTGTGGCGTTGACGGGCGGTGATGGCCGGTGATGGCCGGGGGAGTTGGCCGGGTAGCGGTCCGGGCCCGGGGCGGCTATGGGGGTGGTATTGGGAGCGCTGGAGTCCCGGGGCCGGGGCTAAGTCCCGGGGGTCAGTAGCGGGTCGTGACAACTAAGTGATACCAAATCTTAGGTACCTCTTACAATACTGAGTCCTCTGCAGGTGAGTGCAGAAACCTCCATGAGGCACCTCTCACTAGAATGAGTCCTATCTAGCCTCATGTTTCAGAGCCCTTATCCTTAAACAATGTTTGACTTGCCCACCTACAACACCCTTTCTTTACAGGTAACTAGCCATAACGTTGGCTTCAGAATACTGAGCATGGGACAGTTAATAACTTCTTGCTATATCACATTGTGTGCTCAGTCATTGGTCAGACCCACACTGTAACACCCACATGGTTTTGTGACCTCAACGTGGAAAGTGTACCATGGTCAAAAAAAAACCCCGTCAATAAGAAACCCACTACTAAAGTGGTGGGAATTTATACACTGAAGGGGAATCGAACCCCTGCCGCTTGCTACCGTAAACGATGGAAGGCAAGCATGATAACCACTTCACCATCAGTGTATTTGGTTCAACATCATTATGTCGTACTCTCTCGTGACCTGAAGTGGACCCAGCCGGTTTGCGAACGCTCTACCCATACATCTTTGGTTTTGAGCTCGTTTCCTCTCCTGTATATGTCAAAAGCTCTTGCGATTGACACTTTAGCCATTGATCAAACGAGTTCATGTAATCAGACACTCCACAACCTGACCATCACTGAGTATATGAGCAATTGTGGAGAACCCCTCTGGCTGGATTGAGTCCTTCTGATCGCTCCAATTGTTGACACAGTCCGGATCCATCGAGAATCGGAAAGGGGAAATGTTGCCACACCCAGCGTCGCTCGCTCGCTCTACCTCTGTTATAACCATTGGATCCGAGCACGCCGCCGTCCCGCAACTCAATCAAGAACCACATCGACGACTCTCGGGAAGAGATCAACCGGTCACCGTCACCGCCACTGTCAAGACGTGGAGCTCGTCAGTACACCATCAACTGTCATATACGGTGTATTGATGACAGCGGAGGACAAGGCATCTTGGGAAGCGTCCCAAACGCAAGGTGCAGCCAGAGATCGCATATACAGCGACTCGGGAGCCAATCCCAACAGTGTGTTCAACAACTCAGAGTACGCGCTGAGCAAGGCGGCCCTAACCTCACCAATGTCAAGTCAGTTGTAACGAGACCCCTTAGGTGACAAACCGGGTAGGTCACCTTCCAATCCTTCCGAGACAGTACGATATAAGTATCATATTCAATTAGCTTTTTAATTTCTTTTGTCATCAAATTTCAAAAATCAATAGAGGTAAACTCAGAAATCTCCTTGCCGACATACATGTCATTGGCCCGCTGGGCAGCCTCCCGTTCCTTGTTACGTCTGCGATGGAATCCTTCAATATCTACGTCTAGAAGGCCGTTCTCCTATGCTCCACCATCATATCAAGCTCGCCCACCAACTTGGCTAGCAAGAATCTGGTATCGAAAGGATGGAACGCCTCGATCGAAGGTCAAAGGCCTCGTGATAGGTCTGTTACCTCCTGAATATTGTTTGGCGTCACTCAGAGATAGGAACTTGGAAATGTAGGCTCTGTTGCCGTGTTGATCTATACTGCAGCCGATGTCTTGGTGGATTTGGAAGAAGACAACTTACTTCTCTGCAAACTAGTGCACATCCAACGCATGGATACCGAGTTCTCCTCATTGAACCTAAACGACTTCATCACTGTAACCGACTACTTTTTCTCGATGGTCTCTCTCGGCCTCGATGAGGGGTTCCAAACAGACATCTTCGATGCCTTTGTGGCTTCTGCACATGCTTTGACTGGAGAGAAACGGGAAGAATTCCATGCAGTCTCAAGGGAAGCAGTCGAAAATGTGCATCGTATTTTGATCGATAGCAAAGGACAGGATCCATTCAGCACGGCATTTGATGTGTTGATATGTTTGGAGGAAGCACTTGTGTCGGCAGCGCACATCGTCTCTAACCTGTCTGAAGATGTGAGAAGGATAAAAGCGCATGTGAAGAAGATGATGTCCAAGGATCGCGCAAGGAAAGACGGCGAGTATGACAAGGATCAGAAAGACGGCGAGTACGAGATCGTGGGGTAGAGGGCAAGTTGAATTGTTTTACCGAAGTATCATCCTGTCCTTAGAGCCACATAATTTGCAGCTCTTCGATGTACTGAGGCAACTCGCAAATTAACGATAACATGCTTAACCGAATGGTCAATTTTCCGGCCGGTAGAATGGGCGTGGTTTCTGGCGGTTGTACGAGATCAGTAGGTACCATATTCCGCTACGCTTCATGCATGCAGGGCCTCTAGGATTCTTGTTTCGACAGTTACACGATATATGCACAATACCGTGGAAGTTGTGAAGTCTGCCTGTTTGAAGAAATTGTGTTTCTAAAACATTATACACTGAAGGGGAATCGAACCCCTGCCGCTTGCTATCATGAACCGGATATGGAAGGCAAGCATGATAACCACTTCACCATCAGTGTGTTAGCAGACCATTAATAATTGACTTCTATGGTGTGGAGATACTAGGCCCTACAAAGGCTTCTCCGATCGACGAGCAGATAAGTAGCCAACGGGAAGTGATGCATGATGGTTCGTCTGACTCTTTGAGAGGATGAGCCCGGACAAACGTCGAAGAGTCGAGGAACATAAGTCTTGGTATGAACAGGAGGGAGCATCCTCGGACGAGTGGGGACCCCCGATGCGCAAGTAACAGAAAAC